ATGTATTTTATTTTAATAACAGATGGTCATCCCATAATGGCAGCTGGAAGCCCATGTGGTCATATTGGACTCTGGGATCTAGAAGACAAAAAATTAATTAATCAAATTAGAAATGCACACTCTACAGCAATTGCCGGACTGACATTTCTCCATAGAGAGCCACTTCTTGTCACAAATGGTGCTGACAACGCTCTCAGGGTATTACGATTATTGTTGTTATCATCTTTCTGGCTCATCTGATCTACCCTTTAGGTTATTACAAACCTACTTTAACAAATTAGCCTTGAACCAAGAAGGTGAAAGTAATTTGGGGTGAGATACTGGTATAGATAAAACAAAAAGCATAGCAGGTGACATAATTTCAGTGAGGTGTGAGTTACAGTTTATTTCTTCCCCTCCCCTCACCCCTATCTTTGTAGCTCCAGGGTCAGTGGCCTAGCAAGCACTATGCAACGCCAGTTGATTTATGTAGGAGGTGATTTGACTGCCTGCAGATCAGATGGCACATTGCGGAAGAACCTGACCTTTTTATTTCTTGGCAGATATGGATATTTGATGGTCCTACAGGTGAAGGCCGACTTTTGAGATTCAGAATGGGACATAGTGCTCCTCTTACCAGTATCAGATATTATGGACAAAATGGGCAACAGATTCTAAGCGCAAGTGAGTTTCTGCTTCATACTATTAGTTTATATCAGCAAGTATTGAGAGCTGAATGCTCAGTATTCGGTTTGGTATTTACACATTCTTTTAGATTCAAATATCCCATTGGGTGACTCAGAAGTTTGGGTAAAACTGTCTACTTCAGGAAATACTATAGATGATATAATCTACACTTGGTGTGTCTTTCTATTTACTAATCCTCTGAGGCACAGTAGTCAGATTCTGAAAATGTGGCCATTGCCTCTTCTAATAATCTGCTGAAAATTATTAGTGCAGTATTTTCATTTTATCCTTTGTTCACATTAAATGACATTCCATATACACTTGAATATTGTAATGAAGTAGTTGCAATCTGGCTCTCCTTTTAAAGTGTCCCAAACTTTAACTTCAAGCTTTTTATAGAATCTAATTTTATAAGCTCTGTGATCCACATGGTCTTTAGTTTTGATGAAGCTTGATTAAGAATTTTCTGTATATATCAACAGGTCAAGATGGAACTCTTCAGTCATTTTCCACAATACATGAAAAATTCAACAAGAGCTTGGGACATGGTAGGTCATTTGCAAGATAGAAAATAAGCTGCTGGTCACAAAAGAAATATTTCCAAGATTCTGTGAGACAAGTGGAGGAGGTTTCATCAGTAAATTTTCCCTCTGATGAAATTAAAAAACAAGTGTGAAAGAAGTTTTAAGATTCCTAAAATCAAAGTTGCTATAGAAGTGGTTAAAGTGCTGCTAGAAGGTTATTGAAAAAAGTTAGACATCTTGGGTGGTTAAAAACATGTTGCTGTCACCCAAAGGCATTGATGACCTCACTTGAGCCATCTGTAGAGTGTAAAATTTTTACTAATAGAATGGAAGGGAGCTTAGAGAAAGTATCAAAGTAAGCAGCGTTTAATCTTTGTGGTTTAAAGGGCTCATTTTATTCTCTCTCTCTTTTGATGGTTTCCAG